CCCCACACATAACGCCACAGTGAGCAGCGTTAGACCGCCCACTAGCGCCTGTTCACTACATATATCCCATCCTACCGTACCCACAGAATACCGCTTTGAATTATGCTGTGTAATGTAGCACAATATCACCGCTTCGAGAAGACCGGTGTCCAGCGCGGGGGAGGGGGAAGGGCGAAAACATTGAGTGGAGGGGTGGGGCAAGGGCAGGGAAATATGATGGAGCACTTCAAAGTTTGATGCAAAAACGCATGATCGCACCGGCCCGCCTGGTGTGTTCCACCTGGGTAGTGAACCGGAAGTTTGCATTTTCATTTTTTCATTTACTGAAAAAACGACCAGGCTTCATGCAAACCCAGGCTGGAGTGCACCAGGCTTGCCGGTGCAATCATGCGTTTTTGCACTAGACTCGCGGTTCGTTAATAACTCGTGAGTCGCTAATCAGGAATAATCCCTGCGCTACAACCAAACATTTCGGCTCATATTGGCCATGCTTTGGTTTCTTCCGGCATACAGCAGAATGGGCATCGGTTGGGAGAAGGGTGTTGTGTTATAGAGCCGCATGGATCTGCAGGTACATGATTACCAGTTTTTTGCATGAAGCTCGGTCGTTTTTTCGGTAAATGCTAGCTTTTTGAGAAATTAAAAACGCATATTTTACGAAAAAATACAAATTCTCAGTTCACTAAAAAATGGAAGTATTGCTCGAGCGGTCGTTAGTGAAAAAATCCGAGTATGTAAATGAACTAATGTTCATTTACACATTTGGATAAAGGCGGTCGTTCACTGCAAAACGCACTCGTTTCTGATTTTTCGATAAATTTAAGTCTTTCTCATACCCACTTGGAGGGAATTCCACCTCCAAGCAGAACTAAGACCGCACTTAGCCTCGAAGCTTATTCGACAAGCGAAATATCCACTTCGCTACAAATATCTTTGAAATGCCCTAGATCGTGGCGCAAATGCAAATTGGTGCTCATTTTAGGTATACTATTTTCTATGTTGGAGGCAAACATCCTGACAAAATTTCAGTCAATGTTTTTCGGCAAGTTTTCGAGCTAGCATAGTACCAAGTCGGAAAATTTCACGTAGTGGTACGCGCTGCACACGCGTGCACGATAGCTGAGTTTAAAATCTTTATCTCGCACGTGCATAAAGAATATCCTTGTAAAGTTTCAGCTTTGTGTCTTGCCTGATTCACGAAATCGATAACCAAATCTTTTCCCGCTAACGAAATTTGCATGTTTTTTGGGGTCGCCGTACGCAGGATCTAGACGCGTGTTGGGGAAGTTCTTGAAATGGGAGGATGACACGTGGGACAAGAACATATACCAAAGTTTCAGCCTCCAAGCTTTCCTGGTTGCTGAGATGAAAGTGGGTGACAAAATGCACTCATTTCCGAACACGCACACAGAAAGCCTCTCGACAATATACATTTTTGCTAGCTGTAACAGCGCTATAGCGTTTTTGCTATAGCGTTGCTATAGTGCTGCACAGCAAAAACGCATAAAAACTGGTAATCATATACCAGCAGGTCCATGCGGCTCTGTAGCGCAACATCCTCATTCCAACTGATGCCC